CCTGGGTGCGATTTTTGCCGTACCGCTGCAGTACCGCTGCCGTCCCACTTTAATGGATTCAGACATTGATATTTCTGTTGGAGCGATTTTTATCGTCCCGCTGCCGTGCCGCTGTCGCTGCCGTCCCGCACATATGGATTGTCACCTTTATACATTAAAAGTTGACCTACTTTCATTAACACTACACTTTAAAACACACCTGAGAAACACGGTCCGCCAAATGGGGCGATTATTCGAGACTAACGTGGAGATGCTGGTGTCTACGCGGTCTGGGGAAGATATTAAAAATTTATAAACTTACTCTGACATGTAGAGGCAGTGTGGAGTCAATGTTTTAGAATGAGTATTTTGTAGGCTAAATTACTGCAAACCATTTATTATTGTTCTGATCTATACGTTCTTATTACTGCTGATCGTCTTGCTTCTCATCCTGCGTATGCACCCAAAGGGCAGTATTGGATAAAGGGCCCAAATTATGACACTGTTTTATTACTTAATCAAGATTTTTCAAAATGTTTTTCTTTGGTCGGTGGACTGTAGGAATACCATATATATTTACATGCGCCTTTGTAAGTTAATAAATAGGCTAGATTCTAGAATTTTCTCAACCCGAACAGAAGACAGTGAACAAATTACACATCTCTCCACTTATAATGTGTTAATGGGGGTATTCGCATACATCTTCACAATGATAACTAATAACTGCTGAAGAACTACTTGTACATTCTTATTTTGGGGGTCACAATTTCAGCTGACATCGGCTACAGTAACGGGATCTTAGGCCTAGTTTATTTTGAACGCAGTTGACCTATTCTCGTTGGAAGGAAAATTCTTGATATTGTTCTTTTTCATTTCTTTTTCTTTTTTTGGGGGGACTGTTTGTTGGTATGAAAACTAATAACAAATATTGTCTTTAAACGTCCGGATAAGAAAAGAAAAGTGCTTGTAATTTATATTTTGATGGTGTTGCCATTTCACACTGAACCTAACGGTAATTATTACAAAAGGTCTTCCCCAAAATCGACAGACAAATATATAACATGAAAACAATAAATGGATAGATTGATGGATATATCGGTGGATAGATAGATAGATAGATAGATAGATAGATAGATAGATAGATAGATAGATAGATAGATAGATAGATAGATAGATAGATAGATAGATAGGCAGACTGACAGACTCTTGAATCTGACTAATTGGTTGTTGAACGATGAATGGCATTAAATATAGCGTATATCATCGCTCCATAGCAAGTTCTGTGCGCTTTACACTATAA